CAAAAATAAACCCTAACATGTGGGAACAGAAGAGCAGCCTAATGTCACAACAAGAACCACAGATCGTCAAGATTCGAGAGAAAGCAGTAGCTTCATAAAACAGCCTAATTGAACAGTATATGAGTTTACTTTGGTTAAACAAGCATTAGCTGGTTCACAGTCTAAATACTGTAGATATGCAGTATTGTCAAAACTATTGACAGCACTAGAACTTTTCCCAAAGTTTATGTAAAATTCACAAAGGTCAATATATCTTATCACAAAAAGGTGCTCTGATCAGGTGACACACAATAAAAAAAACTACTTAGTAATAAACTAACAATCAGGAGAACACTTCTCCATGGGTGAAACATGGAGGTGGCAGCATTGTAATGTGGTCCTGCTTTTTTCAGCAGGGACCAAGAAGTTGGTGAAAGTTGATAAAGAAATTAATATTTTAAATGCAAGGCAACCCTGAGAGACAATCTTTCAGTTGGAGAAAACAAATATAGACCTTGGGGAAGCATCATCTTCCAACACAATAATCTAATTATCAGACAGAGGTAAAAGGGGTTTAGATCATAGCATATTTAGGGCCGGATTTATCAGGATCCAATTTTGCGTGCAGTAATTTGCGCTCGCAAACTGGAATTTTGCGCGAGGGGCTGAACCATGGTTTGCGGGTGATTTAACAAGAGTGATTGCGTAACTGGTGGCAGGTGCAAAACTGTTGGAGACGCCCTATTTAAATGATGGTTTTGCGCGTTTTGTGGTCTGCGGCAAAGTAGTTTGTACAAACTAGTGCATTAAGAAATTTAAATCTTACAGTGACACCCCCACCCCCTCCAAAAAAAAAAAAAAATATGTATATATATATATATATATATATATATATATATATATATATATATATATATATATATATATACATATAAAAAACTTTGGAAACCTTTATTCCCTAAGGTGGTATGTGGCTGAATTTCTACTTCACTGCAGTAATAAAAAAAAAAAAAAAATGCACATACCAAATGGCTCACAAGAAGTGACTGTGGATGAGATTACTGCACGTACGCATCCCCGCAGCATTGGCATGTTGCTCCACAGGCGCAGGGGGAGGTCAGGGTTCTCCGGTAGGGCGTCAGGGCGACATGGCATTTAGAACGTCGGACAGCACTTCTGAAAAACGAGATTGGGAGATCCCAGCTCTCGCTCCAACCGTACGCTGGAATGATCCAGATGCAAAAAAGTGCAATGTTGCAAGGAGTTTTGTGATATCTGGTATTGCGTGGGTCCTCCTTGTGGCTGGCTCCAAATCCATTCGGAGTTACCCCAACAGCTCCAAAATGGCAATGCTGGATAAACAATATGTTTTGATGATCGTTTCCTCGTTCATTCCAAAAATATTCACACGGACTGAAAAAATGCGTTCTCTGCGTCTCCTTGCTTCATTTCGATGTCTCCTTCTTGCGACAATAACCGCTGCCGTTAGCAAAATTGCTTTCAGGTTTGATATATCACTTTGCGAGTGCTAAATTAATATATTTACATGTTCTCCTCCCACAAGATGCACTTTTGCGTGTAAATGCCCCATATTGCATATTCATAGCAGAAAAAGTACTAAATGGATAAGAGGTGCTATTTAGCACGTTTTAAAGACCAAATCCTTTTAGCACGCTGTTGATAGATCCGTTTGTACATTTTTTTGCGTGCGCAGTGAAATAGCTCACATTTTTATACACGCAAACCTTTGATAGATCCGGCCCTTAGTGTTATAGTGGCTCGAAGACCTGAAACCCCATATAGAATTCAGAATTTGATTGGACTAGTTAACTATGTCTATCACCTGCTTATCTCTGCCCAGTTCTTATTACCGCTCTATTTAACCTGCCTGCAGACCAGCAATCAGCGCCAGATTGTTTAAGCCTGTGGTTATAGTTCTCTGGCATACCTGTGTTTCTAATTGTCTGATCTTGAACCTCTGAGCCTGCCCGTCCCCATTCTGATCTGTTTGCCTGACCTGTCCTCGGACTCCTGCCCATTATTTGCCTGGCTGTTAACTGAACGTGGAACTGTTCCCGACTCTGTTCTGGATTTCTCTCCAGCACCTCTTTGGACCTCTGATCTCCTGACTCTGAAAACCTACCATGGCTCTGACATCATGGCTCTGAAATCATCTTTGGTTTCACCCTCTGAATTATCCTGCCTTCCTTCATCTGCTGGGTTCTGGTCTCCTGCCTTTCCTCCAGCTTGCAGGGCTTCAGCAGCTGAGACTCACTGGGCGCCGCCCGTCATGTCTCATTGGCAGCCGACCGGCTGGAACCTACCTCTTCCCCTGGGCTCGAACTGAACTATAAGACCAGGTTAGTGACTCACACATTCATTATGATCCTCCGCCAGATAGACACGATCACTAACCTGCTGTCTCCTCCTGCAGAGGTTCCTACCTTAGATGCCGACACAGTTCACTGCAGTTCTGTCTTTAAAATACATTTTGATAAAACTAACTGCCTATACCTTGAATACTGGGTCCTATTCTTTTGAGCCTAACAGCTACAGCTGTTTAAAAACAACAATATATATAATAACGTCTTTAGTTATGCCAAGTTGAGAAGGACATACATTTAAAAACCTGCAGCAAGGGCAGCAAATTTAAAGGGGGTTTCTTCATAGCAGATCACAACGGATGGTCCATTTTCGAACAAAAACATGTTCGATTTTATTTTGTCATTACAAAACATATCATTTTCAATCCACTTTACAATGATGCCTATAAAGGTGTTGATCTATGACTTTATATCAAAGGTAATAGTGGCATGAAAAACTCCAAGGACTAAAAATTACAGTTACAAGTCATTTTGTCCACACAGCCAGCTAGACTGTCCATTATCAATGTAACTGATGTTCAGTCATCTGTAGGAAGCTGAGGAACAGACAAAGAAGAGGATGTCCTCCTCACTGAAGTGGAAGTGTCTCAGTGGGTAAAACATCTAAATGTAGTAAATTACTCATCCTTTGCTCTTTGTATTTGGCTCACAAGTTAGACAGTTTGTCCAACAGTCTCCTTTTCATCCTGACATTAAATGTGTTGCAAGTTTTTTTTTTCACATCTTTAAAAAAAATTTTACAGCACATAATGACAAGCTTTCAATCATAAAAGTGTGGAATAAAAACTTAAACAGGTATTTATGGGGAAAAAATCATGTGAAAAAAATCATTAACATGTTTTTTTACATATTAAAAAGTGTTATTTGTTGATTTTTGTACTCTCATCACATTTGTACAGAGTAAATCATATATGGTACTGTATTCAGTAAATGTAAAAAAAAAATGCTGATGGTTTAAGACAAAAGATGCTTTAAGTCTTTTTAGAGAGGAAGGATTTAGTTGAACAGAAAACAAATGGAGGAAGCCGACTGCTGGCCTGCCTACAGTCCACAAGGATGGATACCATAAAAAGATCAGGACTTAAAACTTCAGGTCACTGACATAGAAATGTATCACCTTTTTATAGCTTTGACTACCCTTCTTATGCATTCCTGTTGGCATCGTTGGGAATAAAAACAATTGCTCTTTGTTATATATGCAGAGGTCCTAAACGGGATTTCCCATGATCGTATCAGTTTCCTGCTGTAAGGAGGAAAAACTCAGTGCTGAGGTTTAAACAATGAAAGAAGTGGCCTACAGTTGATATTGTTCTAAGCTTTAAAGTTTTTTTCTGCTGCATTGTCACAAGAGCTGCTAATGCAATGCGACAATACATGGATGTACTACTTAGCTATAATATCAGTGGGAAATTAACCTCATAAAACTGTTCAAATGCACAAGTTTAATCCTTTTTGCAGATTCCTTTTTTTCATGTAGTATATTTTACCAAACCTATTTGTACAGAAAGCCATCTTAGTAACACTAATCACATCTCAGTAAGAAAATTTGTGTGTAAGTTCCAACTATTCTGTGGCAATAATGGATTTTTTTTTTTTTTTTCAATAGGTCTTGCTTCTTACCCCGTCATATAGTCGTCGTTATCGTGAACAGCTGTTTAAAAGGTGTTTTTTTTACTAAATTCAATGGTTTCTTTGACATATCAGCCATTCAGAGGCCTCTGTCCTCTATTCATGGACTACCTTGTTGCTCATAAGGTGTAATAGGTGTAATTTCAGGGGTTGTGCTAGAAATTAATTAAATGCATTACTTAATTAAAAAAAAATAAAGCAGGTTGGCAACGGATGGACAGATGGACAGACGGAGAGATGAGACCTCATCAGTGTGAGGGTTTTGTTCTTGAAAACCATGACTTACACAATCACACATGTTTATAGTTCAAAAAATATATATAAAAGATATCACAGAAACGCCTATTGGATCACAAATGATGGGAACAGCTTATATATTTCAACCTCTACAAAATGTATGGTTTTTTTTTTCATGTGTCAGAAAGTTCAATGGCAATTCTAGTTTGAAAAAAATGCAATTTGCTGAAAATCATTCCACGGTCCTGGCTATAAAGAGCTTTAGCTCTTTATATTTATATAGCATATCTAATGCATCCCATAGTTTTTCTTTAGTTGTTGGTATTGTTTACACATACGTATGCCTAATGTCTATTTTTTGCTAGGCTAGATTTTTTTAATGTAACTGTGGCTAACTCACAAACCATACGCGGACCTATATTATGTGTTGCACCTTTGTTGGTGTAGCTTATTCATCAAAATTGAAAACAGTTCATTAGGAAAAGATAGATACAAGCTTCAACAATTAAATTTTTTTGTTTTTTGCATATATATTTATATATGTATATATGTATGTATATATAGATATATGAATATATATATATATATATATATATATATATATATATATATATATGTAGGGGAGAGTGGGGTAAGATGAGCCATTTTTTACTTATGTTGTTCTGGACGTAAGGAAAAATGACACAGAAATAGAATGAAAACATATTATTTTATTTTAGGATGTCTCCTATCAAATGAAATTATCAGAATGCATCTCTGACAAAGCTGCCCAAAATAATGACTTCTCAAAAAAAAGTGTTCCTGTGGCTCAACTTGCCCCAGGTTAGGGGTAAGTTGAACCAAGTAAGTGGGTAAATTGAGCCATCTTGGGGTAAACTGACCCTCTAGGTTTTAAAATGTAAACATGAGCATATTGTGCTAACAAACAGTTTGAAAAGTTTTGAACTCCTGAGAACCACCAGTTAGTTTCAAAACCATTTAATCAAAATAACTAGTCAATATTCCAACTGTAAAGGTTGCAGAGGAACATGAACTGTTGTTCCCTCCTTGCAGTTCCTCCAACCTTTTGAGGTTGAGGTAGCTTCTTCAGCACATCACTCCGTGGGAAAGATGCCTCATCATTTTCCTTGAATGCAAAGGTGGGTTTCTTACTGCCAGTGATCCCTCAGATTCTTCTCAGAAATCTGGCACTCACTTCGTTGCCTGCAAGGCTGCCAACCAAGCCAATGTAATGGTGGCTTCTGCATTTGGATGCAAATTTTACGATGACGAAGTCACCAACTACCAGATCTGAGACATCTGGTTCACTTCTTTCATCACTGGAACTCTCGTGCTCAGAAGTGTCTTCAAATGGGATGGCAACATCACTCTCCTCAGAGCTGATTTCTACTGCGATTTTCTTCTGGGTTTGTTTCCTCTTCAGCATTCCTTTCTCTTTTATGGTTCTTTCTGTTTTGCCTTTCTGTTTATTTTGCCTTTCTTTATGGGCACTTTCGATTAACTGCTTTTCAGGTGTATCAGTCAGGATTCTTGTCTTCACACGCTTTCGGTTTGTTTGTTTCCGGGGGTTCTGACTTTTGGGTAAGGGTAGAATGTCATTAGGAGACATATATCCAGCATGGTTGGGGTGTGAAATTGGGTCACTTGGTGAAGCACATGCATGTGCAGGGCCTGGTGAAGGTAGCTCAGCCAAAAGGGAAGTTGAAACCACAGGTGCATCACCTGCAGCTGCAGGCTGCTGCTCCAGGTTCGGCCTGTCTGACACCATGGATGGCTCAAACTCTGCATCAGAGAAGATATCTCTGTTGTAAGGGAAAATCCCAGTGGATCTGAATCTAGAGGAGATATTTCGTGGTGTCATTGCTGACATGAAAGCATCGCTCACACAGCCAGGGATTTGGTATATGCTAGCTGTTTTTCCTGGGTTGGACCTCATCCAACCATCGAGAGATCTGCTGTAATAGGTCTTAAATGGACCATACACGCACTTATCCAGAGGCTGCAGGCGATGGGATGTGTGAGGTGGAATTGTGAGCATAACAATACCACCTGTTTTTGCTATCTCCAAAGCCTTCAGAGAAATGTGGGCTTCATGGTTATCCAAGATCAGCAGCAGTGGCAGGTCAGGGGAACACTTGGTCTGCTGAACCAGATGCTCAAGGAACTCAACGAAGGTGTCTTCATTGATCCAGCCTGATCTGGTGGAGGTACCAATTGACCCTGGTGGTGCTTCTGTAATGAAGTGGTCTTTGTATCTAACCCTTGGGAAGATAAACATGGGTGGGACTGCATTACCAGTCGCATTGACTGCACAGACCACAGTCACCAGTTCGCCTCTGTCTGCAGATGTGATGGCGCCCACTTGTTTCTTTCCTTTTTCTGTCACGACCTGCTTTGGTGTGTGAACTGTTGTTACTCCTGTTTCGTCAACATTATATATCATGTTTGGAGGGAATTTATGCCTGTAAAACAAAGAAAAGAGCAATGATGATAATCAGAATAGTTAAACCTTAAGTAATGCAAAGTGTTTGTAAAAATGGGCTATACCAGGCTATATGCATTGCCATCAGTTTGTTGTTAATTTACTTAACTGTTGTATGTAGCTTTCATAAATCATTATGTTTTCAAATACTTGAATTCTGTTACCTGTCCATCACCTTAGCCAGATTGTCGAAGAACTCTCCAACTGTTGTTCTATTAAAGGCCGTAGCCCTTCCCAAAGATGTTGCTTCGGGCATACGGCAGGAGAGATGGTGGCGTGCCATAAAATTCCTGAACCAATCGTTACCTAAAAAGGAAATGGTACTATATTGAACTACACAAGATAAATTGGTCTATGCCAACCTACTGAGTTATGTTGTTTCTTGCACTTCCTACCGGCTAAACCTTTCTCTCTTCAGTTGCTGGGGGTAGGAATGTTGTTTCTGATTGCCAATTCTAATGACAGTTCCCGGCATTTCTTTGGTGTAAGGCCATGGAACTGGTTTGTGAGCTGCTTCATATGGTCTGCTAGCTCCTTCTCCATCTCCTCTGAAAAGACTCTCCTTGCTTTTGCTGTTCCACTGTACCCTGCTGATTTTACTTACTTTACCTCCCTCTTCTTTATGTATCTCCTCAATGTTGACCTGTCAATATTTCTCTCTTTTGCCACTGATCTGATGGACTTTCCAGCCTTGACATCATTGGCTGCTCTTTCCAGCGCTTCAAGGGGTGTTGAGCCCCAGTTTGTTTTTCTCTTGTAGGTTCTTGGCATGATCCCTGTTCTACAATGGGAAACATTTGACAAATCAGTTGAGTATACTCAAAGAAATACTATTTTATACGTCTGAGAGTGCTTGCCTTGTGGTGGGGTAAGTTGAACCATTTGCTCAATTTACCCCATAGCCTTTGGCTCACTTTGCCCCATAGCCACCATTTTGGAAAAAATGGGCTAGCTTAGAAATTCAGGCTAATCTTTAGTGAAGTGATTCACATGATTTTATACGTAAGAAAATCCCCAACAAGTATAATATATAATTTTAGACCCAGATAAATTTGGTTTGATATAACAGTCATTTTACCTGATATGCTGTAAATTTACTTAAACAAGCAAAAAACAGTTTCTTGTGTAAAAAAGTACTTACCCCTTCTCCCATGTGCTTGTCTTTATCGCAGCAAGTTGGAAATGATTGGTGCTTCCTTAATTTATGGTCAGATGACAAAACATGTGAACGGTTACCTAGATACAAGGGGTGGGTCAACTTACCCACTGGCTCATCTTACCCCACTCTCCCCTACCTTGTTTCCAGGGACGCAAAGTAGGGGAGAGTGGGGTAAAGTGAGACGTTTTTTACATTTGCTCCCCTCCAAGTGAGCTAAAATGATATATCAGTTAAATTTACACATTTCCCATTATCAGAATGTATTCAGGATGAAGGGCAGTGAAAATATGATGTTTTTTAAAAAAGTGGTCTTGTGGCTCACTTTACCCCAGCTAAGGGGTAAAGTGAGACAGACCAGAGAAGTCAACGGGGTAAAGGGAACCAACCAGGGGTAAATGGATCCACTTACTTTGTCCACTCTGAAACTACCATAACAACATATGTTGTAACAGGTTAGAATCCTTACAGCTGGCCTGACAACCTCACATCCCAGAACAAATGCCAGACTAGTAAAATAACCATTGGAATTGGTCTATTAAGCACATTTTTTCCTACAACACTATCCCTTTTTTTATATGTATATATAAGTCTTAATATCAAAACACAGTCTCGGGGTCAGAACACAGGACCTTTAGAGCCAGCTAGAACAGCCTGGGACTCAACAGGACTAAATCCACAATCAGAGCATCACTCATTCTCTACAAATACAGTAGGCCTCTACAACTACTCCACATTCCAGCCCTGAAGATTGCAGGTAAAGATGAAGAGTTGTTCTCTACGTGTGGTCCCTCCACGCCTCTTAGGTTGAGGCAGCTTCTTCACCACATCTGCTTTGGGAACATGCGCCACATCTTTTTCTTTAATAGCAAATGTGGGTCTCTCCCACACTTTTGTGTTTCCCTGAATTTTTCTAAGGAATTGGATAAGAATTTCATCATCTTCAACTTTCTCAACCATGCCAATATACCGGAGGTTCCTGTGTTTGGTTGTAAAGTTAATCATGACAAAGTCACCCACAGAAAGATCTTTGTTTCCTGGATCACTTCTTTCATCCTCAGAACTCTCTTCTTAATTATCAAATGGGACAGGGACATCACTCTCCTCAGAGCTGCAAACTACGATTTTCCTTTTGGTTGCTTTCTTTTTCGGTTTTCCCTTTTCTTTGCTATTTTGCTTTTCCCCCGCCAGTTTCTTTTGTCTTTCTTTATAAGCCTCTTCAATTGCCTGCTTCTCAGGAGTATCAGTTATGATGGCTGTCTTCACATGCTTTCATTTGGTTTGTGTTCTGGATGGACTTTTAGGAAGTGATAGTATTTCACGAGGAGACACATATCCAGTTCGGCTGGGAACACGTGGCACATCTGAATCAGCTGGCGAGGCACATCCATGTGGACCATGCACAGTGGATGGATAAGCATCAGCGGGTGAATTATCTGCAGCTGGTGGTTTGTCTGCAGGTGGTGGACCATCAAGATCATCTGCAGCTGGTGGTTTGTCTGCAGGTGGTGGACCATCAAGATCATCTGCAGCTGGTGGTTTGTCTGCAGGTGGTGGACCATCAAGATCATCTGCAGGGGGTGGACCATCCAGATCATCTGCATTGGCAAGCTGCAGCTCAGGGTTTGGCCGGTCTGACACCATGGATGGTGCAAACGCTTCATCAGGGAAAATGTCTTGGTTATATGGGAAAATCCCAGTGGACCTAAATCCAAAAGTGGTGTTGCGTGGTGTCACTGCTGACATGAAAGCCTCATTCAAAAGTCCTGCAGTCTGGTAGATGGAGTTAGACCCCATCCACCCATCAAGAGCACAGCTGTATTGGGTCTTGAACGGGCCATACACGGTCACGTCGAGAGGCTGCATGCGATGGGATGTGTGGGAGGGTGAGCAGAATAATTCCGTTGCTCTTGGACATTTCTATTGCCTTGAGTGCGATGTGAGCTTTTAGATTATCCAGGATTAGCAGCCTGGGACGATCAGGGGTGCAGTTAGTGTGCAATTGTCAGGGACAGGGATATTGTTTCTTTCTGCATATTCAAAGGCCAGTTGACGGGACTTAACTGGAGGAAGGCCATGGAACTGTTCAGCTAGTTGTTTCAAGTGTTCGGCAAGTTCCTCCTCCATCTCATCTGTAATAATTCTCTTTGCCTCAGCTACTGCACCCCAGGCTACCGATTTTACTTCCCCTTTCTCTTTTTTCTTTATGAATCTTAAAAGGCTTGACTTGTCAATATTTCTTTCCCTTGCAGCTGCTCTTAGAGACTTCTTTCCTTCCTTGACCTCAGCGGCTGCACTCTCCATCTCCTCGAGGGGTGTTTTGCCCCAGGTTGTCTTCCTAGTGTATTTCCTTGGCATGATGGCTTTTCTATAATGTTTTTGACATTTAAAATAAAAATATAACATTACATATTAATTAATATGTAATTAATAGTAATATTACATTACATATGCAATATAATATTACATTAAAATATGTTTACAACTAAACTTAACCCGTGCCTCATGGTGAGGGTAAAGTAAGACACTGTATCACTTTACCCCACAGCATTTGTCTCAATTTACCCCACCTCCACCATTTTTGAAAAAATGACCTTTCTTAGCAATTCAGGCTAACCTTCAGCTAGCATCATCACATGGTTTTATATGTTGGTAGTTCATCAACAGGTATGATATCAATTTTTGTACTTGAATCAATTTGCTTTGGCACAACAGTTGATTAAGTTGACAGCAAGAAAATTTACTTTTACATGCAAAAAAAACATTTTGTTAGAAAAAATTTTGCTTACCTCAGCAAAATGAGCTTCTCTCCTTTAGGGAAAAGGGGAAATGGGAGGAGCTTGGAAACAAAAAGGGTCACATGGGCACAAATGTACGGTGGCTGCCTGAGAAGTGCAAAACACATTTACAATTCAAAAACACATTAACAAATAAAAAACAAAATAACATTTGAAGAAACAAAATTATATTTTATGAAACAAATTTTTTTGAAAAAAAAGTTTAAATTTTTAAAAACAAATTTACATTTTAGCAAACAAATTTACATTTTAGGAAACAAATTCACATTTTAAATAAGTTAGATTTTAGGTGAGAGAAAGTTTCATTTTAGAGGGAAAAAAATACATTATAGGGAAACAAATTTACATCTAAAAAAAAATTGACCGTTCGGAAACACTTGTACAAGTGCAAAGCCAAAAACAAATTAACAAAAGACGGCTACACGGATAGGGAATGTCCCAGTGGCCGGATGTGACGTCACGATTACCCTGACTTGTAGTACAAACAGCTCAATCTGTAGTCCTCCTGCTTCACGTGAAAAGTCAGCGGCGATTTTAGATGGAAAGAATTGCACTGAAGCTGTTTTTCTTAAGTTTACGCTAAGCGAACAATGTTTTGCCCTTATTGTGGAGCAAATTTCAGCCAATTTACACCATTTTGTTCTTCGTGCGGATGGTCTCTGGAACTTTTACGGGACACGAACCAGGTGGCAGGACCAAGTAGCAGTACCAAGCTCAATTCGTGGCAGTGGCTGCGTTGCAGCAGTTCCGGTGGCTCACCGGCAAATGGCACGGTGTATTACTGGCCGGAGCCATTGAATTATTTTGTCATGTAGTTTTTTTATTACTTTTCTTTGGTATTTAATTATTTTTTGGGTATTTTTCTTGCCGTTTTTCGGCAAATGCCTTATTTATAGTACTTCTAACTAGTTTTATATAGATATATATATATAGGCTATATATTGTGATGTTATCACTTAATAACCTGTATTAAAGCTACAGTGTGTAACTTTTAGCGACATCTAGCGGTCAGACTGCAGACTGCAGCAACATGAACATCTCCCCCCCACCGCTTCTCCCCCCCAACAGTACGGCAAGCGTTACGGGACAAAATGTCTTCCACGAGGTCCGCATCACCTACCTTCTCAAGTGATGAGGTTTGTTTACATAGATAATTTTACAGATAGTATTTCATTAGTCTGTGTAGGGTATAGATTTCATGTAGACTTAAGATAATAAATATACCCGTAATTTTTTCTACATCGTTGTGACGTTTTGGAGATCTCGCAATCGCTAGTTTGTTGGCTCTGCGCTGCCGTAGCGCAAAGATGTCTGCCTCCATGGCTGCGAGACCCGCTCCTATGTAATTATAAATAACGAATTCTAAGGCAACGCAAATATTAAGGTTAAGAGGCTGAGCTCGTAGATGATGATAAATAACATAGTTATGTATAATATATTACATTTCTGACTGTATATCCCTGTAATTATTACACACTGTAGCTTTAATGTGTTTTTGAATTGTAAATATGTTTTGCACTCAGCCACCATACAAATGTGTTCTGTTGCCTAGATA